GTTGAATAGAAAATGCAAGAAAGTTTGTAACTTTTCTCTTGTCAATTTTATTACTATTAGTTCTATTATTTGGAGAAAAAGAGTCGGTTTTAATAAACGGATTTCATTCTTTTATGTTTTTAATCTTTTATAGTGGGCGACGCTAAACCTTGTGATAATAGGAGAAAATTAAATGCTTAAAAAATGTTCAATTAATATTTGGGAAAAAGAAATAGATTCCTATAGAGGAACTTGGTGCATGTTATAATAAATATACCGTGGATTTGGGATTAAAAGAGAAGGGCACAAAACTAAAGAGTGATCTTATGTATAATATTGTTCTACGTTACCTTCCTAATTTATGGAGATTATTATTTAAATAAAAAATTGAGGACTGACATTTATTTATTTATTTTATATGTAGCTCATAATTGAATTAAGTAAAACAAGTATAAAATTTTAATTACTTCAAATATCTTCTATAACCAAATATCAAATAATATAATTGAAAATATAAAATAATCTTTATATAAAATATATGCTTAATTATTAATTTAATCGATATTTAGGTTTATTATTATTTTTGTACTTATATTTTTATTTATTCAAATGAAATATAGTTTCTAAATAATTTATGTAATCCTTCCATTAAATTGATATTAACAATATTAGAAGGTAATTATATATCAATTTAAACCATTAGGACAATAAACTTTAATGTGCTAATGGTTAAGGTTTTAAAGTCAAATTGGGTGGCAAGAATAGAAGGGATGGTAGGTTAAGGGAAGGAGAGGAGGTTTTGGAGAACTCAGGAAGAAGAGGAGCTTTGAGAACAATGTCGACAATTGAAGAGGAAGATGGGAGTAGGTGATGATGAGTGTCATAGTGGTGGTGGTAATATAGATCCAAAATGCATAGCATAATCATATATTAATCCATAATGGACCCACACGTTGATTCATGATGAAAATAGAATGTGGAATCGTACTTGAATTTGCCATTAAGAGGGATGTGGATGATGATATCAACAACAATGGGTATGTGATATTCCAAAAGTAGATGGTCTTAATACCACTTTTGTTTTCTCTCCTGATGAGGATAAAGAGAAAATAAAACCCTAATACATTACGTAATGTTACCTTCTCTCGAGGGGACAATAACCCATTTCGTAACTTATGTAAATCATATTCCAGATTTTAATAATTCCAATTCAACCTATCATCAAATCTGAATATTACTTTAGGATATGTATACAACAATATTTTTATGATAATTATGCCCTTAGTTATAAACATAATATTAGCATACCACTTTATAATTTTAACTAATCAGATAATGGCCCTAACACATTTAAATAATATATGTTACCTAAAAACTCCAACAAGTAGGTGTCATTAGGATGTGTGATGGGGTTTTTCGCCAAAGAAGTAGGGGTTAGAGAGGAAGAAGAGGGTTTAAACTAACACATGGTCACCTTGTGAAGCTATTAACATTGATTTAACGAAAAAGACCACATTAACTCTATTTAAAAACTATAAGTACTTAATTGAGTAAAAAAACTATAGGGACAAAAGAGAGTATTGGAGTTTTTTACTCTTTTATCTTAGTAAGAGTGATTCTCCTAAGTTCTTGAGTGATTCAAGAACCCTTGGTTATATTAAAAGACTTTCCATCCTTTGTGTGTTGCCTCCTTTAGAAAGAGAGACTCTTTCCTTCCATTTTCATTGTCACTTTGTTTTTCTTTCTTCTCCCAAATTATAGAACTCGATTCTATCTAGTTTATCTCGTAGTCATAACTTTTGTTTTTTGTGTCCAAATAAGTCTTTCTTAAGCCAAAATTGAACTTCAGAACATGAGTTTTCACCTTGTTTTGGAAACACCTCAATTAGAGTTCTGTAACTCAAGATATCAATATTTCTAAAATTCTGTCAATCTTTTCTCTAGCTTTCCCAAATTTTCTTTAAGCCCTAAAAATCGTAAATCGATCTTTATGCAAATGGGGTTTACATCATTTGGTATTCAAAGCTTTGGTTTAAGGGTTTGAACGTCAAATTGGAAACACCCTTCTTTATTTCTATTTTTACCTTTTTTTTCATATTGTTTGTGTTTGTACTGAATCACTGCAAAAGTTAGGTCCTTGTGAAAATTTTAAAAAAATTTAGCAGTATTATATAAACAAAAATAGGTTGAATGATTCATGCTTTTGAGTAATTTGTAATATATTGGTGTTATTGAAGGATTGTTGTTAATTCTTTGGTTTACCAATTTTCTTTTACTCCTTTGCTATTGTGATTTGTTAGCTTAGTCTTTTTCTAGCCTTCTTTGTCTACCTAGCCTTATTGTGCACATATTAAGGGATTGTTTTTTTTTTTTTACCATAATCTCTTGAATTTCGTAAGAACCCAAGGAGAATTTGAATGGTAAAAGGCAAGAGAGTTTCATTATAGTATAAGTTAATCTATTAAGTGTAAACACTTAAGTGTGTGAGAAAATTTTCAAACACCAGATATATATATATATATATATATATATATATATATATATATATTGTTCTTATTACCTTGATCTATTTGTTAATCATGACAGAATGGAATGATATTTGGATGCAAATTGTTACATTATCTCAACATTTTGAGAGGTTGATGAAGCAATAACAAGATGAGTTCCATGATAGGTTAGATCAACTAGAGAATAGAACCCCACCAAGAAAAGGAAGGCCAAATAGGAATGAAGGAAGAATAGAAGGAGTAAAATTGAATGTGCCACCTTTCAAGGGTAGGAATGATCCTGAAGCTTACTTGGAGTGGGAGCTCAAAATCGAGCATGTATTTTCTTGAAATAATTATAGTGAGGAGCAAAAGGTAAGGCTTGCAACAGGTTAATTTTCTGAATATGCTTTAATTTGCTGAAACAAGTTAGAGAGAGAAGATTATAGATGAGGAGCATATGGTGGACACTTGGGCTGAAACGAAAAGGTCATGAGGAAGTGGTATGTACCTTCTAACTTCCATAGGGACTTAAAATTGAAACTTTGAGAGATTATCTTAAGGAAGCAAAGGAATGGAAGAGTATTATAAGGAGATGGATATTCTTATCATCCAAGCCAAAATTGAAGAAGATCCTAAGGTAACTATGACTCATTTCCTTAATGGATTAAATCATAATATTAGAGACATTGTTGAGTTGTAGGAGTTTGTGGAGATGAAGGATCTTTTGCGTAAGACTATACATGTAGAACAACAAATTAAAAGAAAGAGTTCTACCAATTTTAATTCTTCAAACTGGAGAGATAAAGAAAAAAAAAAGATGGCGTTGCCTCTTCTAGCAATGTAACGCTACCCAACCAAGGAAAAACACCTCAAAAGAAACTTGAACATCCACCAAAGAGGACTAGAGAAGTGAAATGTTTTAAATGTTTGGGCATGGGACATTATGCTTATGAGTGTCCTACAAAGAATATATCGTTCTTCTTAAGGATAATGGGGAGTAGGTAAGTCAATTTAATGATAGTGGTGGAGAGGAAAAGGAAAGTGATGGAGAATTGAAAGCTAATGAGGGAGAGTTGTACATGATTAGGAGAATGTTGGGAAGTCAAGTTAAGGTCGTGGATGCATCTCAAAGGGAGAACATTTTTCATATAAGATGTTCAATTAATGGTAATGTATCATTGGTAATCATTGATGGAGGTAGTTGTACTAATGTGGTCAATTCAAGATTAGTGTCAAAGATGAACATAGACACTAAACCACATCCCAGGCTATACAAACTTCAATGGCTTAGTGAAGGAGAAGAAGTCTGAGTGAAACACACATGTGGAAGTCTCTTTCTCCATTGTGAAATATCATGATAAGGTCTTATGTGATGTGGTTCCCATTAGTTTTGTCAAAATGGACTAGAACCCGCGGACCAACCCGACCCACCATGGGTTCAAGCTGGGTTAGGTTTGAAAAAAATGAATTTGTTTTATACAGGTCAATTTTCAACCCGACTTACTTGGGTTAATGTGGTCAAAATGAGTTGTAGTCCGGGAGCCAACCCGGCCCACCACGGATTTGAGCTGGGTTGGATTTGAAAAAAGTATAATTTTTTTATGCGGGTTAATTTTTAACCTGGTTCACGCGGGTTGAACTTGTTGTCAGCTAGATTGGTTCATCAACCCACCTAATTTAATTTAATCATTTATTATTTTGTGTTTCAATATTATTAGTTAGTATTTTTTTTATTACATTATAGATGAGATAAAAAAAATGTTTCAAGAGAGAAAAATATTATAGATTTATGCATTCAAGACTCTAATATTATAGATGGATAAATAATAAAAATATTATCAATATTAAAATCTTATTTGTTCCCCTTTTGTGCTTGTTTTTGGATTACACTTGGATTGCATGATATTTGTTTTTTTTAAAATTGTTTTGGAGTTTAATATCATTTTAGAGTGAAATTTATTTAAATTTAAAATAAAAAATTATAATTTTTTTATTTTAAAAAAACCTTATAATTAAGTGAGTAAACTCGTTTAACCCACCAATCCGTGGTAGATTGAGTCGAATTCGAATTTTTTCAGCTTGCTAATAAGTGAGCCGGTTTGGATTGACTCACTAAGTGACCAATCCGTGATTAACCATGTCAGGTTGAACCGGTAATTTGAACTTTTATCTAAATATTTTAAGAAGGAATAAATGATTAATTTGATTCTCACACGTAAAACAATGTTAATTAAAGATTTAAAGTAATAAAATATTTAATTTAGTCTTTGAATATATAAAGAGCCATATTGTTAATTTTATGACACTTGCCGTCATAAAATCATAATTTTAAAATTAATCCAGCAGGAAATTAGATTATTTTATTATGGCGTTATTCTACCATAAATTATTTTTTTACATATTTAAGAACTAAATCAATTTATTTTACTATTTTAAAAAAATTAAATTTATAACCCTTCAAAAATTCAAGAACCAAATTGTGTACATTTTTAAAAACAAAAGAGGAAATAAAATGTGTAATAATTTAGCTAACGAAATTTCCTATCAAGTGGTGCAACAATGCGTCGTACCATCGTTAGTTTCCTCTTTTTGCTTTGCAGACTTCACTAACCCCTCTCAGCTCGCACCCTCCGTCTCAGCCACTGACCGCCTCCATCTCGCCGCCTCCGCATCCGCAGGCGCGACAGCCGCCGACAGCCGTTGTAAGAATTTTGCCTTTACGTCGTTGACTTGATCGTAGTTGTTGATGCGACCAGAATTTCATAAAAGAAAGATATTTTGGAGGATTCCTCTTCATACTTGTTTGGGCTGCAGCTTATTGGTTTTGTTGATTTTAATTTTCTTTTTGGGTTTGATTAAATGGGTTTGCTGATTTTGTGTTTGTTTGAGTTTTAGTGTTCCTAACTTCATGGAGGGGGTGTTTTGAGTTGCATCACCTTAGTGAGATGTATATGGGTTCTTGAGATGTTTCATCTCTCCTTTTGAAATTTCCATTTTTTTTCTAATTAGTAGGGTGAGTTTATTATTATGGGTTTCTTATTTCTATTGTAGGTTCATAATTTTGATACCCTGTGAGTTCTGAGTAAGTTATTTGGAATTTTTTAGTTCTAATCTCATTGCCATGGTTGTAGTCTTCTTTGCATTTGTCTATGTAAACAACGCTCTCAAGTCTTTCCCATTTCATTGTGTGTGAAATTATGAATTGATTACATTTTAAGTATTGATTTTTATTTATATTCATTAAAATATAGGTAAGTTTTCACTGATAATCTGTCAACTAAGCACAAACGGGGTGGGCTAGGCTTTCCAACCATTGGAAGTTCCAACAATGGCAGGCATAGCTATAGTTCTAGATCTGTGGAGGAAAAACCAAAACTCGAGCTTCGGATTGCACTCTTCTCACGCCTTTCAGTCTTCTGGTGCCTTTTTCTCCGCGTCTGCTGCTGCTACTGCTGCTGCAGCGTCTGTTGCTGCGGGGACTGGTTTTGCCTCAAGGGCTTTGTTTGGGTATGCTCCGCTTCCATTTTTCTACACTTGCATTTATCTTGGTGTTCTAGGGATGATGCTTTGTCGTGTTATAGGATTTTGATCTAGGATAGGATAGGATACACAATCCGACAAAATAGTTTAGGTGTTACTTTTGAAGACTTGGGTTTGGTTGGGGATTACTGTATTGTGTACAGAGAGAGAGAGAGAGAGAGAGAGAGAGAGAGAGAGACAGACAGATAGACAGAAAATGGGTATATAAGGAGGGAGGGCGCCCAAATGAAAGGGGATAATTATTCTGAGGTTTTGGGTAGTGATTTTGAGTAGAGGCTGGCTCTTCTCATAATCCAAATCTTTGTATGTTTTTCTTGCTTAGTGGCTCTTCCATATTTGTAAAAAGATTAATTTTATCCATAGTTATTTATGGTTTCTCTGTTGGATTTCTCTAATCATATAGAGGACTTTTCTTCCGATCAGTGATGCGTATCAGTATTAGTTTATCTATTTCTTTTGTTTAATATCTTGGTTCCTATCATTATTTTATTTTCAGGTCTTCAGTTGCATATTGTGATGCTGGTGCAGCATTATCTGAAGACTACATTTCTAGTATACAAAGTTCTTTTAAAAAGAATTACCAATATGATGCACTAAGATATAGTACCAAGCAGTATAATGTGGAACTTAAACCGCTCTTTTCTGCTTTTGAATTGAGGACATTTGCAATGACTTCCATAAGGTCGTTCTTGTTGTTCTATTTACCTCTTTTGGAGCCCCGTGCGGAAATGGAAGATGATGAGGATTTCTTGGAGGAGGATCAAGAGCACCCTGTTGATCTGGTTGTTCCCTTAAAAAAATCAGTGAAGCAAATCATACGTGAGGTGAGATTTATCTTGTTTTTTCTTTCTTTCATGGTTCTATAAAATTTATATATTGGAATATACAAACAATCTATGAAATTGATATGAGTGATTTGTTATTTAGTTTTAGTGACAACTCTTTTAAGCTTCTAGTGGCAATGCTGTTAAGCTGCTACATCCAGCTTGTATTCAGAACCCCATATCTAATTTTTGAGTAGATTGTCTTCATTTCATACACTTCGATAAACATGTTAATTGAGTGGGATAGCTGTTTCTATTTGGTTATTTTTGTTTTTGACAGTCATATTCATTCTTGGGTCATACTTAATGTAGGGTGATAACCATATTGTTGAATATAGTGAAAACTATGTTTGAGATTAATCTTCCTTATGTTGAATATACACATAAGGTACTCTATTTATAATAAAAGAAATATGGGTTAAAACCAAAATACAAATAAAAAATAATAACAAATTAGCTAAAGATAAAAGATAAATATAAAATATCTAACTCCCCCTCAAGTTGGTGCATACAAATCGTATGTACTAAGCTTGTTACTAATATAATCAATAAAGACTTAGTAAAAATATATTCTTCTGCACTCTAGTGACACCAAATTGTTAGTGATTTGCAAAGACGACATAGAAGATGAAATACCAACCAAGAAGACTCCCTCTAAGCAACAAATCTGGGAAGTTGCTCCATATAAATATCTTCTTGCAAATCGCTGTAAAAGAACGCATTGTTGACATCTGGTTGATAAAGAGGCCATTGTTGGAGAGCCACTACGGTTATAAATAAACTAACAAAAGTCATCTTTGCCACTAGAGAAAAAACATATATGGACGGGTCAAACACATCTCGGTGATAGAAGAGAGGTTAGAAGAGACAGTAGCGAAAGAAGTCATGGACGAACCGGAGAGAAAAATCCTAAAAAACATGAAGAATAATATTGGATAGCTATGGACAACTGCGAAACTTCAACTATGATGACTTTGACAAAAGAGGATTACCGATAGTAGTGGACGACAACAACACCGGTAGCGGTGGTAGACAATGGTGTTCTCGGCAGCACTGCTGGCAACGGCGGGTGTAGTGGCAAAGGCGACAAATTTTTTTTTCTCAAAAAGAATCTTAGGCTCTAGATACCATGTTGAATATAGTGAAAACTACATATGAGATTAATCTCCCTTGTGTTGAATATACACATAGGGTACTCTATTTATAATAAAAAAAATATGGGCTAAGCCCAAAATACAAATAAAGAATAATAACAAATTAACTAAAGATAAAAGATAAAGATAATATATTTAACACATATTGAAAATAGATCTACAAATATATGGAAGACCTTTTAATGGGAAAATATTGGATATGGTGATCTATGCATGTGAGATTATGAAATCGTTTAGTGGGAAGACCTTTTGTGAATAGATATACTAATTGATGCCTAGATGGAACATAAGAAGTACTAATAAGACCTCTATCCAATTTCTCTTTAATAAAGTGTCGATCCATCTCTGTGTGTTTGGTCCTATCATGTTGAACTAGATTGTGAGCCATGCTATTAGTTGACTTGTTATCACAATAAAGAATCATAGGCTCTTCATATGCCACTTTAAGATCATTTAGATAAATTCTCAACCATAACAATTAATACACTCCATTTGCCATAGCTTAAAATTCAGCCTCAGCACTAGACCTTGAAACAACACTTTTGTTTCTTACTTCTCCTAGTTACCAAATTTCCACTCAAGAACATGCAATATCTTGAGGTGGATTTCCTATCTTTGATAAGCCCTTCATAATCTGTATCATACACTTCCATTTTTTATTTTTCGTTTCTCTTGTACAATAATCCCCTTCGTGGACTTTTCTTCAAATATTGATGGATTTTGTCTACAGCTTATAAATGTCTCTCCCTTGGATCATGTATGAACTGACTAACTATACTTACAACAAATGCTATGTTAGGTTTGGTATGAGCTAAGTAAATGAGCTTCTCAACAAGTCTTTGATATTGGCCTTTATTCATAGTAGAATTGCCTTCATCACTCCGAATCTATGGTTTTGTTCTATAAGAACTCCATTGGTTTTACATTCTATCTTACCTATTTCTTTAAGAAGACAAAAACCATACTTTCTTTGGGAGATAAAGATGCCTTTCTTTGAATAAGCAACTTCTATCTCAAGGAAGTACTTTAATTTTCTTAGATATTTCAAACTAAGCAACAAGCTTTTCTTTCAAGATTTGTTTTTCATGTTGGCATATCATCAGCATAGACCAAGAGTAGAGTAAGTTTGCTTTTTATGGAATGTTTAATGAACAAGGTATGGTCACCGTGACTTTGTTGATACTCCATGGAGATCATAACTTGAGTGAGTCAACCAAACCAAGCACATAATGGATACTTGAGCTTGCACAAGGCTTTCTTCAACCTACATACTTTATTCCCTTTTTCAATAGACCTAAAACCTAGAGGAATTTCTATGTAGACTTGTTCTAATTGTCCATACCAAAAAGTGTTTTTTCACATGAAATTGTTGCAATTCCCAACCAAAATAAGCTTGCCAATGAGAGAATGGTTATAGGGTTAAGTATGTTTTTAGTCCTTGTATTTACATGCGAAATTAGAATTTGTCCCTCTCTCAAAGTTTATATAAAATTCATCCCTAGACTTTAGTAACGCATAGGATACGTCATCCAGAACCAACGACATTAACTTTTAGGGTATTGATAGGTTCAATGGTAAAGTCTATACTAGGAGAAAAATATAATAGGATGTAGTTATAACCTCTGATGGTTATAACTGTTAAAAACAATAATAGCTAATATTTTCCAACCAAGAGAGGGAGGTGAATTGGTTTCACAAAATTTTGATCTTCTTAAAATAATTGTTAAGATGCTCATTCTTTAGACGTTTTCAAACCATCAAAGAAACACAAGATTGATGAAAGAAGAAGAAAAGAACACGCCAATTTTATATTGGTTTAATTCAACTTGAATCTACATCCAATTTTCTTCCAAGCAACTTGAGCTTGCAAGATTTCCACTATAATGGCAAAGTTCACATAATTACAAGTACACCTTAATAATTCTGGACCCTAAGATTATCGCCTACACAGTGAAGAGAGTTTAAAGAATGGAAAAATGCAAAAAGTAAATGGAATGAATACACCTGGAGTGTAGATGTTATAGATCAGTCTTATGTCAAGCAAGAATCTCTAGAATCAAATTCATTTTGATAACTTCTTGATGAATTTCTCAAAGACCCAACTCTTCCTCTCTTCAAGAACTCAAGAAATACTTCTTTCTCACAATACCAGCTCTTAGATTTAAAACTTTAATACCTTTGGAATGAGAAGAAGACTTGTTTTTAAAGGGAAAACATCTTTCTGATGTTATTAATCGATTATGGAAATAACCTAATCGATTAATATCATTCAGATTTGAATTCTGAAGTTTGATTCTGTTTTAATCTATTATATAAGTATGTTAATCAATTAAGACAGTTCAAATGACAGTTATGTATTTCAAAACAAATTTTTTGGGTGCCAAAGATGCTCTTAATTGATTATACATTGATTAATTTGTTTCCAAGAGGATTTAAGCTTGACTTACTATCTATTCTTGACTCAACTTTACTCATCTAGATTTTGTTAAACATTTGGACATCATCAAAAACTTGATCAACAATCTTCCCCTCTCAAAAATCTGTCCTTTTTTTGTGATGGCCAACCTGCATTTACAATTCAAATACCTTTCTCCCCCTTTGGGTATTAGCAAAAATAGGGAGTTGGACAAATACCATGAGACATAAAGACAGAAAAATAGATCATAACAAGTTAACCATAATATCAAAGTTAATTGTTTAGCAGGTCATAACAGAGCATAGCAGATGAAACTTAAACATAATAGAACAGAGCAATAAAAAGAACATGACCAGAAGTTCTAAGGTGAATCCTAAAGTATAGCAGGACAATAACAGCAATACAGCTAAAGTTCTAAAGTGAATCCTATGACATAGTAGGGAAAGAGCATCTAGTATTCATCAGTAGTTTCCTCTTCCTCTTGCTCATCTTCCTCTTCTTCTTGACCAGCATCAGGATCCAGATCTTCACTGCCACCACCAATATTGTGTTCTTTGAGTTGTTGTTGGATGCTTGCGATTTCCTTAACTAATGGATCGAATTGGTCCATATAGGTGGAATGGTTGGAGACAAGCCTGGTCAATTACTTTAGCACACATTTTTCAAAATTGTTCTTTGGTCTTACAGCAGGTGAAGCGTGGGACTTGTCAACATTGATTGGATCAACATATTCTCCTTGGTCAGCATTAGGTTCATCTTTGAATGCCCATCCATCTTCTCTTTTTCCAAGGCCTGTGTGATGAAAGGCAGCCTTTTCAATCTTATTAGTGTTATTGTAACCCGTGGATACTTCATCAGTGAGACTGAAATGGTAAAATTCAAACACTTTGGAGAGAAAAACAACATAAGGTAAGCTAGCCATAGGTGGCCTCGTAGTTTTTATAATGGTGTCACTTACCACCTCAGCCCAGTCAGTGTGCATGTGTCCTTTGAGTGCCTGAATGAGAAAAATGTTTTCTATGGTTAGTTGAGCACAGTTGTTCGCCCTGGGAATCAGAATCCACACCAGAACAAGTGCTAGCTGTCTGTCATCCCTTTCCATGCCACCAGCCTTAAAAGAGTGTAGTCTCTGAGTTCATCAGTGTATCTTAAGCAGGCTTGAAAAATCTCTAATCTATTAAGTCCAGGAAAGCCCATGTGGGATTTTTCACCATCCAGCCGAAACCCGACAATGGAAGTTCAAACATCATCATCAAGTTCGATGTCAACCCCTTTTACTCTAGATGTGATGATTCCATTCACTACTTTCACATTTCCTTATGCTTTAAACTATAAGCCCATTTACATCCTACTGCCTTTTTATCCAGTGGTCTGTTTACAATTTCCCATGTTTTGTTCTTTTCCAAGGTACTCATGTCTTTGTGGCCTGAACCCAATTCTCATAGATGAGAGAAAGATGCAGAAAAAATAGAGAACGGGGCAAAATTACATAGATGAGAGAAAAGGGAGAGTGCCTTGGGGAGAAAGAGAATAAGGAGGTAGTGATTTTTGTTTGCAGAAGGATAAAAGTGCAGTGGTAGTTTTCTAAAAGATAAAAAGAGGGCAGTGTTTTTTGTTTCTGCTAGAGGAACATTGGTAGTTTTAGGTGAAAAAGGTGTGATAACTTTTTGTTTATTCCAATAGGAAGAGTGGTAATTTTACGTGGAAAAAGGGGGGAGGAGGGGTAGTAACTTTTGGTTATTTATGAAAAGAAGAGCATGACTTTCATTTTTCAGGTCCAAAGAGCTGCAGGGGTCTTTGACAGCAGACGGAAAAAAGAAATTGGGCTTTGCGCTTACCTTAGGTTTTTCTGGGGCTGAATCAGATTGGATAGTCGCAAACCCAACCAGCTCAGAATAGTAAAACTGGCTCATAAGCCACACCCATGAGAGTCACGATCTTCAATAATGATCCAATACGATCCACCAAAATCGTGGACGCATAAATCTTACATTGCAGAACACAATATTTACTACATGGCTCACTGGGCTAGTTAAGTTTATTAATTTATTTGTTGGTCTTTTTATAAATGAGCTCACGCAAATAGACTTTTAGGTTAGATAAGAATTTTAAATAGGTCATACTTGTAACAGGTAAATAGGCCAATGAGGCCTTGGTTGAGGCGAGGATGCCTCAGTGAAAGCCATGCCAATGATGCTCCAATTGAGGTTTAGTTGAGGATGTCTTAACGAAATCCAAGTCAAGGATGCCCCATCCAAGACCAACCTAAAATTGCCCTAATTGTGGGCTTGACCAAAGCGACACTTTGCAGATAGAGTAAAAATTAACTTAGTCGAAACTATCATAAAATTGTCTTGACCAAACAATTTTTTTTGATGAACATTGGTTTTGAATATTTTGAAGTGTATACATCTCGAGCATGGAACTAGACATTAATGGTCTTCTGATAGTGGGTGGCATGATAGGTCCAACAAACAACGAATTTTGTTAAGATAGGCTTTAGAGAGTTTGATACCATTTCAAGAAGTGAACTTTAAGTCTAACTCGATCTTATAAAACTGGCTTATGAGGTGAGGTTTACACCTACTTATATATTGTCAATCTATCTTATCTCTAGTTGATGTGGGATCTTTCACAGTTTCATAGTGGCTTGATATGCTCAATAGACCTTGTTAGGATCAAGCACTAACTACTAGGCCAAAAGCTACAAGTGATAGTCAAAGTGCACGCTCTACTAAAGAGCATATTAGTTCAAGCACCACAATTTGATTATGACTTGGCCCATCTTGCCAATGTCACGGGATAACTGATGCAACTTAGAACAATCTAATTGAGCTATTGGGATTTGAACTCGTGACCTTGTCTTTAATATCAACTTAAAAAGTGAACTTTAAACTTAATTTAAATTCACAAAACTGACTTTTGATGTGAGGTTCATATATACTTATATATTATAATTTGATCTTATTTATAACCAACGTGGGATCTTTGATGAATTAGATTTGGATATTTCGATGTTTTGCACACCGCTACATTAGTTTTTTTCCCCTTTTATTTAGTAATGACTAAAATTACCTGGTAAATTAGTTTGACTTTCATAATTTTTGCTCTTCTAAGTGTGCATTGACATATTTAAAGCTTATTATTTTAAATGTGTCTTGGGTGCCATAACAGTCAACCGTTGTGACCACTAGAAGGATCTTAGAAAGAATTGCTGTTCATTATGTTTCACAAAGAATGGCATGGAAGCTTCTTAAAGGTATGCTGATAAAACAGTTAATGTTTACTACAGGCAAAATCAACTAGTGTTTTAGTAGTGAGAGATGGCTGTTTTATATTCTGAGCCCTCCAATAGATCTTAAATGTATTTGGCTTTTCGGATTTCTTGAACAGATATCCCTAGATCAGCAACTCGCAAGGCTGGAAGGAACATGCCCACTGTGGTTTACTTCTATTGTGTGAGCAGAACAACATTCAGAGGTCAAATCAATCCATGAATAATACCTGATCGTTATGAGATTTCCTGAGCTTTTGATTTCATCAATTAACTTGTGATGACTTTCTTTTTGTTTTGTACAGGACACATGCTTGGAGTTGCAGCATCATGGCTTGTCCAAGTTGGCATTGATTTATATAGATTCTTTTCCTCGGCATTCAAGGTGCAGAAAGAGGATAATGATGTTGATAAAACTAATGAAGTTGGAGTTCTTGGACAGAAGATTTTCATCACTACAGTTAGATGTACTTCATCTTTAATTTTTGCTTCCATAGGAGCAGGAATCGGTGCAACCCTTGTTCGTCCATCGCTGGGTCAATGGATTGGTAAAATTGTTGCCTTACTTGGATTTTGCAATTTAAGGTCTAATTTGGATAAACTTTTCTAATTTAAATAAACTTTTCTTATAAATTAAATTTAACTTTTAAATAAATTAATTTATAATTCCCTCATTTGGGTCTCTTTAAATGAATTTCTCCAAAAGTACCTATAAGAAGGAAGGAAAAATTATTTCACCCCCATAAGTTTGTTTATTTGTATATGCTCTACCTTAATAGCTAATTTAAAGGTTGATTTTTAACTCATGCATACCCACATATCTCTCTCTCTATATATGCTTGTGGAAAAGTTTATCTAGAACAACTCTTCATTACTTGAAAAATTGTTTAACTTAAACTTTAGCCAATTTAACATGTAACAGACATTTATTTTATTTTACTTTCTAATTTTCTTCTACTGGTTGAAAAACTTATCTGTGCTGAAAAAATTATATAAACAAAATCTTGAGTTGATTCTTGCTTGTTTCACTTCAATACGCTTAAGGGTGTCTTCTTTATCTTCAGGATGTGCTGCTGGTGATTTGGCTGGCCCTATTATTGTAGCATTTTGTGCTGACCAATTATTTCAAGTGAAACTTTGAAATGTGGTTATATTTTCTGACAGATTTTTTACCCTTTTCAAATAACTGGGGTATGTTATGAATTTTGCTGTATTTGTTAGCCATATTTGATTGAGCCATTAGGATTTGGTGAACCTGCTTTTTAGCTCAAAGCATACTAACATTTTTCAGTCATGATAGATAATTCGTTATTGTTTCAATATAATACGTTTTCCAAGCTATTTTGTTAATGCATTTCGTAATTTGTTTGAAACTTGTTTATTTCTGTTCATGGGTATTCCCCACATTAACGAGTAAACATAATATGCAAAGTGCTTAGTTATTGGTACTGGTTCACTTGTTTGTAGGAAATTGCATTTTGCTCTATTCTTTTGGTCACAATTTTCCTTTTGCTTCACTTTAGTAATTCTTCAAGAATGTTGATAGCAATCAGAAATGAATTTTTGGAAGTGATTACGTTGCTATTTAATATAGGTATATATATATATATATATATATATATATATATATATATAAATTTTCTTCAAAAATTAATATTTTTCATATCTCTGAGTGGTAGCATGTTATATTTTGTCTAGAGTGTTGAGCAGTGTTTTAAGTATATTTCGTCACTTGCATTGATGTGACGTATCTTATGATTAAAAAATTATTGTCTAAAAATATATATTTAAGGTTTAATGTCGCAATAGGTCTCTATTTTCGTCAAAAATCTTAAATAGAATCTTTTTTTGCGTCTCAATTGGATTCTTATTTTTATAAAATTGAATCAAATAGGACATTTCTGTCAAATTGATCAGACGGTGTTAAGGAAGGTGATATGTGGCACGTTGACGGTATAGTTTTAATTTACGTGGCATTAGAAAGGTGTGTGAAGTGTAATTTTTTAATTTTTGAATTAAAAAATAGAGTGCACATTAGGAAAATAAAATTTAAGTAAGGATAAAGTTGAGAAATCAAATTAAATTAATAATTGAGTTATAGGGTTCTGGGAAATTTCATCCCCTTTCTCTTTGTTTCAGCGAGAAAGTTGCTAAGGTAGCACCTTTCTTTTCTTGAACCAAAAACTCTAGCAATGGGAGTCTGGCGGCGTACATAGGAAAATTCTTCCTCTTCCTCTTCTTGATTCTTCGTACCATGGTTGCGGTCTTGTGGGGAGAAGATCTGATTGTCGTTTTCGGCAGTGGTGCGTTTCGCTTTAGAGTTTGTTCCTCCTTTCGACCTTGTTCGAACTCGCGGAGTAGGAAGAATAGACGTCTTCCTTCCTTCTCTTCTTCTTGGTTCTGCTAGGGATTCTTTAGGTAGGAGATAAGCTTACCGGTGGCTAGGACGCAAACCCTTCCACGTGGCACGATGAGGGTGCGGTAGCGATGGCGTCCCGGCGGTGCTCTAAGCGTGGGCGTTCTCTGGGCGGTGGGGGTCGCAGGAGCTTTCCTCCTTGGAATCAACTTGCAAATGCGGGTTCAGTTCTGACCGAGCCTATGTGCGAACGGCGTCGCGGTGGTGAGAGAAGACGAAGACAATGCGTTAGGAGTGATCTCCAGCGACAACAACGAGGGCGAGTGACTGCCTTATCCGGCGACCACAACGTCAACGACGAGTTGTGATTGGGAAATTCTTGACTTTGCTATTTAGGGTTCCTTTTGTTATCTGATTTTGGAGATTAGGTTTTGCTCAAATTGAGAAATTAGGGATTCTCTGGTGTAATTGAAATTGCAATGTTTGAATTGGGATCTTGATTTCTGTTTTCGTTTCTGAGCTTCAAATTGATTTCTCAGTTGCTGGTTGCACTTAATTTCTTTTCTTTTACCTACTTTGCCCTTTAAGAAATCTGATTTCCCCTGTCTAAATCTGATTTCCCCTGTTTGCAATCTTTTTTTAATACAAAATACAATTCAAACACGTTTATAATGTCATGTCTAATTAAACAATATATTGTCTATGCCACGTAATTCAATATTAAACGATCGTTTTTCCAATTTAACGGTAAGCCTGTAATTGATTCAATTTTACAAAAATAAGGACTCAATTGAGACGCCAAAAAAGAAAGGTTCATATTTGAGATTCTTGACGAAAATAGGAACCTATTAAGACATTAAACCTATATTTAAAGTATTACATTGACTTGAGTCAAAACTATTTAAAAAAAACTAAACTATTTTTGTAAAAAAATTATGGAATTTCAATTTGAAAATAATATTTTATAGAGTAAATTGATTATTTTAAAAGATAATGTAAGAAACATGATCATTTAAATTTTTAAATCAATTATTCCACTTATGTATGTAAAATATATTACCTTTTATTGATTGAAATGAAAATTGATTTAAAAAGCCATTTTTTAGAAAAAAGTAATTAATATAAAAGTGTTTTTTTAAAATTGATGTAAAACAGCCAATGATGTAAAGAAGTCATCTCTTCTTAACAGTATCATCAGTAAAAGATAATAATTTTACGAGGCAAGAAACGTAACTGTGTTTATCTAATTGATAGTTTAATGTATAGATATTTAAAGTCAGAAGTAAACTTTTATGAGCTAAAAATATCGAGCTTCATAGTATATGTATATTTTTTCTTAATAAAACTAATGTTAAACATTAGTATGTATTGTAATATCAAAACTAGGTTGATATTCTACAAGCACATCAATGATTCATTATTACATTAAAATTATTATTAAAAAATAATAACAAAATATTGGAATCATACTAAATCCATGTAAAAAATATATATATCTTTCTTCAAAAGAAACTAAACAATTTTATACATAAAAAGTATATGTTCATTATAGAAAATATCAATAACAATCACAAATAACGAATTTTAAACTTATTAGAGATATAATATCTTTGTTAGATTGTACCACTCAAAATTGGAAAAACATTAACAGTTTCCTTTTTTCCTCAAATAACTACTTCATAGTTGGTTTAGGCTACATAATTTATTAAATTTAACTCTTTATTTTTTATTTCTATCCAATTTCTTTTATTGCATCCCACTTTTTTTTCATCTTTTTCTTTCTGAAGTCCATGATGTGGTTGATTGTCGTTGTTCATGTCGTCATTTTTCTTGAGTTGCAAACGCACTTCTCTCATAATATCATCTTAATTTAGAGTCAAGGCATGATGTCTCTAATCTCATTCCTTAGTAGTCTGTAGATCTCTATTCGTCCCTGTCTTTTCTATTTGTCCCTAAGTTTTGTCTCTTTCCTTATTTGTATTGTTTTTTTATCCCATAAATTTTATGTTTTCATTGTTACTTTTCTAACATGACACTTTACATACAATTTTATGTGTTTATTGTGCAATGGTGTTTTGTTTAGTTTTGACACCTTACATGGGTTTTACTAGTGAATGCCTTGTTGGCAAAAGTAGAAGATGAATTTTGATGACGATATTTTTGAGAAAGATTAAAGACTTAAAAAATGATTTGGTTTAAATGAAAATGGTGTTTTGTTCAGTTATTGAAGACTTGTATTTACATCGTCTGGAGAGTTATAACGTCTGGAGCTTTACAACATCTAGAGAGTACAACGTCTAGAGCTTTACAGTGTTTAGAGAGTTACAACGTCTGGAGATTTACAGTGTTTGGAGCTTTACAGTGTCTGGAGCTTTACAGTGTCTGGAGTTTTACAGAGCCAGGAGTTTTACAGCGTCTGGAGAGTTACAACATTTGGTACTACAACGTCTGGTCTGGAACTCTGCAGCGTCTAGAAACCTGAAGTGTCTGGTACTGCAACCTCTAGGAAATTGAAGCGTCTGGTACATCAACCTCTAAGAAACTGAAGCGTATGGTACTGCAACCTCTAAGAAACTGAAGCGTATGATATTCCAACATCTGAAATTCTACAACATTAAGGGACTCAAAGTGTCTAAGGATTCAAGTGTCTATCAATTCAAAGTGGACCCCAAAAGCATCTATCAAATCAAACAACAAGTTGTATGCTAGACTTAACTATCCCAGTAAATATTCAGAATTAACCAAGTGCCTTTGGAATAATTGACTATTTCCTTAGATAATTAATTATCCCAGAAAAAAATGATTTTTTAAATGTCTAGAATAATTGATTACTAACTTAGAATAATCAATTATTTGTGACAGTTGCGAAGAGATTTTAACCTATTTTTTAAGATGGGTCTATAAATATAAAAAGCTTTTGCAAAAGTTTATGAGTCTATCTTAAGAAACTTGTGTGCAAAAAGTGAATAATTCATCCTTTTTTGTATCATCTCTTGTTTGTCAAGAGAGGTGAACCCTAAACCTGTACTCTACTTTGTACTGTATGTTCTTGATATTTTTAGTGTTTAGTTAATATCTTCTTTAGAGAGATTAACAATTGAACATATGATCTTTTGATTTGAACCAGTATAAAATATTTTTTGCAATCTTTTTCTTCCTTACACTCCTTTATTTATTTGCTTTTATTCAAAGTATTTTTTCAAATTTATTAGAAAAATTTTTAAAAGCAAAAATCTATTAAAAAGAAGCAATTTTGCGTTTTCTGCTTGCCTTCCTAATTTCATGAATATTGTTTGCATGTCATGTTTTATGTTTGTTAATATGTTATCAAGCAAGTTTAGGTTATACAGAGACTAAACTTCTAGAAGTTACTTCTTCATTAGATAGTTATGCTTCCCATGAAATTTAAATGAAATTAACAAAAAGAGATTACATTAAAATAGGGAAGGCTTACAAAGTATTTATAATTGTTAGATAGATTATCTTTTATCTTTAATTAGTTTGTTATTATTTTTTATTTGTATTTTGGACTTTATTCATATTTCTTCTAAAAAATCCTGTGTATATTCAATACAAAGAAGATTAATCTCATATATAATTTTTTATTATATTCAACAATAATTAATTATTGCAATAGTATTTATAGTTAACTGCTTTACACAAATGTTACAACAAATAACTATTATACATATTATACATACATATTACGAAAACAAATCTAGGAGATTCATTTTCATAATAAAAAAATTTTAAATTGATTTTACATTCAAGAAATAGTTAAATATATTTTTAATTACTAAATTTTGATGTAAAATTGGAATTTATCATTATGTGAAACTTTGATAAATTTAGGTCTCTAAACTTTAAAATTGAACGGATATATTTATCTTAATTATGTCAATATTTTAACGTATTTTCCAATTAATATTGAAACAAGAATATGAACTATTCAGACAACTCAAATGTTAACATAAAATACTA